ACATGTAGACAGACGTGTGTAAACGTTGCATGTGTGTGTGCATGTACGCATGTACGTATGTATGTATGTACACATACCCGACTGTCCATGCACGTATGTCGCGGTGTTTGTCAGTTAACAATTGTTATAATCATCACTATTCTTACTATGTGTTGAAGCTGTGTGCTGCTGAGGGTGTATCTGTCTTGTACAGATCAGTATCCGTCTCTCCTCTTGATCTTCGTGTCATGTGTGTGCGGTGTTTCCGCCTTGAATGAATGAACGAGCATGGCTGCGGTGGATAGAGAGACAGAAGAGACAAAATGAGTGAATGATGCCGAAGAGGATCTGACAGTGATCGAAAGATGTACGTGAGGTGTGTGATTTCTATCGAGCGGCCGACTGGCCGACTGGTTTGTCTGTTCGCCCGACACCTCCACGCATTTTGTCTGTCAATGGATGGAGTCGAATGCTAGAGACGTGACACGAGTGTGACACACGTGATGTGACACACCTGCAGAGTCACTGCTTCACTTTGCTTCACTTTGCTGACTGAGTCACTGCTTTACATGAGTCTCACCACTGTGAGACACATCTGAGACACACACGTTACATATGTGTTCAATCATTGTATAAACGAATCACACGCTAGTGAATCAGGTGTCAGTCCGATGCCATCATCCATCCCCGAGCGCTCCAGGAATGCGAGCTCGAGCTTCAGGTTGATTTCCTTGGTTGTTGACTGCGCCTGACATATACATCAGCTGTTGTGTCGGCGGATCTGCTGGGCAGCAAGCAATGGCGTCGGTCGCGTCGCCGGCTGGAGCAGCTGCCGATACAGCTGCCGCTGGCGAGAGGGGAAGATGGTCGAGTCGTGCGGCCTTCCTGCTGACGGCGATGGGCGCCGCAATAGGCCTGGGAAACATCTGGAGGTACCCGATGCCAGATCTGTTACGCCCAGGGCGTGTGACGTAACTCTGTCTGGTTGCGGTAACTGCTGTCAATGTCAGGTTTCCTTATCTGAGTTACAGCTACGGCGGCGGAGCCTTCTTTATTCCGTACCTCGGTAGGCGAGTGAGGCAGATGCCTTGCATCGGTGACCTCCTGCCGAGAGAATGTTGGGTGGTGTGTGATCAGGTGCTCTTTTCTTGATTGGCATCCCCCTGCTGACCACTGAGCTGGCCCTGGGTGAGTGACGAAGTGAGTGGGCGACGCCAAAAGATCGGCACTCATTTCGTGTGATCATCTCTCTCTCAGGCCAAGTGTACCAAGGCGGCCACGCAGTCGCCTTCGGCATGCTCAGCAAGCGCTTCATTGGCCTTGGCTACGGCTCAGCGTGGGCGTGCTTCATCGTGGCGGCCTACTACAACGTGCTGCTCGCTTACGCGTGCCTCTACTTCGTCGCGTCCTTCCAGAACCCGCTGCCCTGGGCCGCCACGGCCAAGACAGCGCAGCTCTGCAAAACGGCCGGCGCGAGTGCGGCGTCGTGTGCGGCTCTGGGGACCGAGTGCATGTGGGCGGATGGGGAGTGCTCTCAGGCGCTCATTGGAAAGGTCAGCGATTCACACACAGGCAGCGCACAAGCCGGGTCCACCTTGGTGGACATAATCACACTGCTTCTCTCTCTCTCTCTCTCTCTGTGGATGTGCAGGCGAATGCGTATCTGTACGAGACGGTCCTGGAGCAGAGTGATGTGAGCGGCGGGATCGGCTGGCTGGTTCCCCACATCGCTGTGGCTGCGTTGGTCGTGTGGGTGATCTGCTACCTTTCCCTGTTCAAAGGGGCATCCCTCCTGGGTTATGTGGCCTCTACGTCAGTGGTGCTGCCCTTTGTGCTGCTGGGCGCCCTCATCATCACGGGACTGTCGCTGCCCGGCATGGAAATGGGCGTACATCAATACATAGGTACCTACTTACGAAGACCAGGTGTCAATGTGTCTGTTGTCTTCGTATCATCACGTGTGTGGCAGGTCGTTGGGACTTGTCAATATTGTCATCTCGGCCCCAGATCTGGTCGGATGCAACCGCTCAAATCTTTTTCAGCGTGGGTGCCGTTTGGGGTTACATCACAGCGTATGCCTCGTACAACAAGTGAGCAAGACGAAACTCAAGTCGAGCGCTGCGTGATTGGTGAACGTCGATTTTGGTGTTGTTCTTATCCACTTCTTGCCTGGGTGCAGAAAGGGTCAGAATGTAGCGCAGGATGCACTGATCGTCTCCCTGTCCGACTCTGCATGCGCGATCCTCGCTGGACTCGCCGCCTTCTCAATATGCGGGTATGTAATGCACGCGAATGAACCTGGAGAGCTACTTACCGTGTGTGTCGGTTCATCAGGCATCTTGCGTACGAGGCGGGCATCCCATTGGATGAGCTGCCGACGGAATCGAGGGGCCTGGCATTCGTCAGTTATCCGATCGGCCTGGCGCAAATCCCTGGGTGGGGGGCCCAGCTGTTCAACGTCTTCTTCTTTGCCGTTCTCATTTGCCTGGGTGTTGCGTCATCCTTCTCCTTCGTGGAATGTCCGGCGACTGTTCTGCTGGTAAGTGACCGAGGGAGTGTGAGACGCACCCGCACGCAGCTATCGGGCCACCTCTCATGTATGTCGCGGTAGGACACGTCATGGTTCGGTCGGGTGCCTCGGTGGTTGATGGTGGGCATCTTGAGTGTGGTGGGGTACGGCCTGTCGCTCGTCTACTCGACGGACATCGGCTATCACCTCATCGACGCCAGCGACTGGTACGTCGCCAACGTCCTCGCCCTGTCATTGGGTCTTCTCGAGTCGGTGGCCGTCGGGTGGGCCGCGAGAATCGACGTGCAGGAAGGGCACATCGGCAAGAAAGGTATGTGCGGATCGAGATGAAGATGGCAGGCATGCATTGTGTGTGTGTTTGTGTTGTCAGCTCCATGGGTGTTGATGTGTGGGTTCGTGGGAAGCATCGCCGTCGCCACAATCGTGCAGTGCATCCTACTTGCCATATTGCCGGGGGTGACCGTGCTCATCGGTGTGTGCATCTGGCTGGGGCTGCTGGCCGTGTCGATGGTGGCATCCTACCTGTTGATAGAGACAAAGGAGATGATGGGCTGGAAGGTAAGCAGAATGCCGTCGACTTGAAACTTGTGTTGATGTCCGCTGTGTGTGTGGTGAGACAGCTGAAGCTTTGGTGGCTGTATCTGGGCAACATCGAAACCCTCAGGAAGGAACTCAACCACGTTGTCGCACGTAAGCATATCGGTCTGCCTGCTACGGATGGCCACTCATGTCACGGTGTGTGTGTGCAGCCGGCAAGTCCCGATGGCGCATCACTCCGTTGTGGAGCCTGCTCATTAAGTTCTTCTGCCCTTTGGTCACTTGTGTACTGGTCGGGGTATCCTGCTCCGAGAACCTCAACAGCTACAAGGGTTTCCCTTCGGGAGTGCAGGCGATGGGCATGGCAATGGCGTTCAGCGGCCTCGCTCTCTTCTTTGCCGCAGCCATATTCCCAGACGTGAGAGACACACAACATCTTGACTTGTGCAGTGAACGGCTTCCACCCTCTTTGCCTGTGAACGTGTCTGCAGCGATTTGGTGCCAAGAGCTTGTTGAAGCAGCACAAGCAGATGCACATAGAGCCGTCCCCGCCCTCCCTCCCGCCCCCTGTGTGTAAGTCCCCCCTGGCCCTGCCCACCGAGCCAGAGCCGCAGTCCGTCGCTGACGCGTCACTGTCGAGTACGGAGGAGCAATCGGGCGAGCGGTCCTCACTCAACAGCGTGTCATCTCCCGGCAGTGAGGGCGGCAATGCACAGAGGCCTAAAGCGTCCCTGGAGAAGAGTTCAGCCTGGTGACCACTGCTGATGGTGGGGCGTGTTGATCAATCGATCATGGGACATCGTGGTATGGCTGTTGTTGTTTTTGTTCTTTTATGTGACGGGCGGTGGGAGGGGTGGATGGGGATAGGGGTGTTGTTAGTTGCATGTATGCCTTTCTAGCTAGCTACCTAGTCAATGCTTCGTGTCAGCCAGCCAATACGATTTGTGTGTTCATACATCTCTGTTCTCACTCTCTCTCTCTCTCTCTGTGTGTGTGTGTGTGTGTGCGTGTGTACATAGCGTGAATGAATC